CGAAAAAATTGATTTGTGTTAACGTATTATTACAAGATTAACCTAAAAAATGCGTATCTCCGTGATTAATAAAAGTGAAGATGCAAAATTTGGTAGATTTATTCAGAATTAAATACAGAATTTAATGCATCAACTCGTTTGTTAAAGTCTCTATTGGTTCTTGAGAAATAAAATCCCAAAGATTATTAAAAAACTTAATTTGAGTTGACGTATAGGTATATAATTTAAAACTTTGTATCTTAGAGATTAATAAAAGTGAAGATACCAAATTACACATATTCATTTAGAATTACATGGTGAATTTAATGCATCAACCCGTTTGTTGCTATCTCAATTTGTTCTTGAGAAATATATTCCAAAAGGTGATCGAAAAAATTGATTTGTGTTAACATATTATTACAAGATTAACCTAAAAAATGCGTATCTCCGTGATTAATAAAAGTAAAGATGCGAAATTTGGTGGATTTATTCAGAATTAAATAGTGAATTTAATGCATCAACCCGTTTGTTAAAGTCTTTATTAGTNTAGAATTACATGGTGAGTTTAATGTATTAACCTGTTTGTTGCTATCTCTATTTGTTTTTGAGAAATAAATTCTAAAAGATTATCAAAAAATCATGCTTTAACGCGTATTAAAAGTAATTAAGTATAACTTTCATTTCATTGCAATTTATTAATTTTTCAGATATAATTGACAAAATATACTAAATATTAAAAAAATCCTTATCGTTTATCGTTCGCAATACAAACTCAGCATATCAAAAGTACAAGCATTATGACAACATTCCTCAACAACACCTCTTGTAGATAACTCTCTGTTGAATAACGTTTTATATTTTCCATTCGGGTTATAAAAAGGAAAATTATCCCGTTCATCGCCGTTTGAGTCGTCGTAGATAATCAGGAAATCTTTTAATTCGTCTACAATAAAAATAAATGCTTAGGTCAATAAGAGTCCAATTAAAAGCGTTTCGTATTTACTTTCGAGTGCTCGTTTTCCGTAGTACTTCGAATCGCAAACAAGTTGCAAAGCTCTACCTAGCTGGTCTCCACACACTTTGATTCGTTTTCCACCACGACCACTCGACAAAACGACGAATGTTAGTACGACCAAAGTGAAAAACCATACTTTAGAAGCCATCTAAAACGCTTTTCAAGCTTTAAATTGATGTTTTATTAAAATTTTTACTTACCGTTGAGGTTAATGGTTGATTTTAGATGAATTTGTTGTGTTAGAATGATTTCGTACTCAGATTAAACCCTTTATATATCCGGGGTGTTTCCGCAAAACATCTTAATTAAGATTTAAAATATTCACAGATATTAACATATTCAAATTAACATATTTCGTGATTCATTAAGTTCTAATATTTTAATTAAAGCTGTTTAAAAATAAATTTTTAAAATGAAATCTTATTGATAAAATTATTTAATCGAAATTAAGAATTTAGAAGAATTAAAGAAATTTGTTTTATTTATTCTCCTCAGATTTCAGTGAACAAATTTACATAATTCAAGCTGTCTAAACTATGAAATGTCTTAGTGTTAACCAGTAAAGCATGAAAATCATTTGGGTATATAACCACCTAAAACGTTGGGAACATTTTCAGTCACATCCTAGTTGTGAAACGCTTCTATTATTCCATTAAAATGATAGTAATAAAAAATTAAGAGAAATAAAAAGTTTCAAAACGAATAAACTTTGAAACGTCAATATCTGGCAATATTCCAAGTTATCAATAAGATTCTTAATTGGTTGCAAAGTAAAACTTCAACTCAAGTGAATCAACGTTCCGATTTATGTTCCGAATACGAGATATTTTAACGATTGAGAAACCGAAATAGATTGGAACTTAAATGTTTGTTTCTGGAATTGCTTTAATTCGTAACTTTTTTCTTCTTCGATGGTAAATTTTAAAATGTTTCCCAACCGGACGATTAGCCTTTTGTAGATGTGCAAATGACATGCAAATTGTCCTTTTATGCGCCCCTTTTCTTGGAACAGTAACCGGGAAAATATTCAGAAAGTAATGGAACGAAAACGAGATCATTCCAGGGGATTATTGAAAATATCTTACAGAAATATCAGCTCTTCCAACTTCAAATTGGAGTCCGGCCAATAACAATTAAGGGTAACGTTTTGGTACAATCCTTCTTATTTTTATCGTAAGAAATAAAAATTTTACACTTATTTTTAAACTTATTATTTACATAATTATTTCTCGTTTTATTATAATTAGGCCCACTTTTACCATCCTAATAATAAACTATCAAGAGGATAGTTGCCATGGTTACGGCGATTTTAAGCGCTCTCATTGGCTAAGAACTGGATTTATCTATCGGATAAATTTATCAGGAGGTGGTAAAAGTGGGCCAATGTATTAACTAAAATTAAAATTAACTAGAGAAGAAGGTTACAGTGATAGTGTTCAGAAACAAGTTAGAAGTTCAAAGTATACAACAGCTTAGTGCTAGAATTAAGTAATAACTAGAATTAACACTAGACGTAGAACTAGAAACATTCGGGTTTAGCCGTGCGTCTCTTAATACGACTAAACCCGAATGATTCTAGTTCTAGATCTTGTCTTAGTTCTAGTGCAAAACTAGAACTAACACTAGACGTAGAACTAGAAACATTCGAATATAGCCGCACGTCTCTCAAGACGGCTAAACCCGAATGGTTCTAGTTCAAGGTTTTGTGCTACTTCTAGAAGTTCTAGAAAAACTAGGAGAAGTGACTAGAAGAAGAACGAGACGGAAGAAATTGGTATTCCATACACTTTACACTTTACTTGTTTACTAACACTGCTCTCAAATCCATCAATGTGGAAGAAATCAGTAATCCAAGCATGACACAGAAAAACTTTTAGAACAAAAGTTGTAGCAAATTTTACCCTTTACACATTATTTCCTAACACTTTTGCTCTCAAATGCATCAATGTGGAGAAATATTCGAAAATATGAAAATTAGAAGAATTCGTAGTTCTACAAGCTGCCAATGGAAGAAATCGGTAATCCGAGCATGATACAGAAAAACTTTTAGAACAAAAGTTGTAGCAAATTTTACCCTTTACATATTGTTTCCTAATACTTTTGCTGTCAAATCCATCAATATGGAGAAATATTCGAAAATATGAAAATTAGAAGAATTCGTAGTTCCACAAGCTCCTAATAGAAGAAATCGGTAATCCGAGCATGATACAAAAAAACTTTTAGAACAAAAGTTGTAGCAAATTTTACTCTTTACACATTGTTTCCTAACACTTTTGCTCTCAGATGCATCAATGTGGAGAAATATTCGAAAATATGAAAATCAGAAGAATTCGTAGTTCTACAAGCGGCTAATGAAAGAAATCGGTAATCCGAGCATGATACAAAAAAACTTTTAGAATAAAAGTTGTAGCAAATTTTACCCTTTACATATTGTTTCCTAATACTTATGCTCTCAAATCCATCAATATGGAGAAATATTCAAAAATATGAAAATTAGAAGAATTCGTAGTTCCACAACCTGCTAATGAAAGAAACCGGTAATCCGAACATGATACAGAAAAACTTTTAGAACAAAAGTTGTAGCAAATTTTACCCTTTACACATTGTTTCCTAACACTTTTGCTCTTGGATGCATCAATGTGGAGGAATATTCGAAAATATGAAAATTAGCTGAATTCGTA